GGAGACGGCTGGGTGGCTGAAGCCAGTAGCTGCTGCAGGAGAATCATAGGGGGCTGAGGTCCTTCAGGAGACATGTCCCCCAGCTCCGGGGAGGCGGCTGCTCCATCATCTGGGTTTATAAACAGAATATACACACTGGATTTCCATCAGCAACACCTAATTATTAGTAAAGAAAATGCGCTGGGTATTTTAAACCAGATCTAATTATTGTTTAATTATTGATTATTGTCCTGCTCTTGTCCTCAGTGGTTCCTGCCACTGGAATGCTTATGGAACTGCGCTGACACATCTCACAGCATAAGGCCCCCAAGTGGACAGCACCACTTGCAGCCATTCTCTCTTCCCATCCCAGCCCTACAGTGGTAACCGTAATCATGAACTATTTGTCCTTAATACTTAACAAGATGTCATTCATTACTGTTTTAATAACTTATAATCAATAATTTAGACAACTAAAATCTTCACACTCAAACATCAAAGAAAAAAGTAGGCTCTACAGAATTTTTCATTCACTGCTTTCTAACCTCCTTCTTTTGTTCATCTGTCATGTAGAGCCAACACAAGTTATTTCCTAGATTCCTACCCTTGGTCTCATTCTCCACCTTCTCCTCCTTGTTGGCTCTTGGCGTCAGGAACTCCTGTTTTAGTCACCTCCCAGGTTGGTACTTCTAACTCTGACTTCTGCTAAGGCTGTTCAGGTCACTACAGAACACTTAATTCTCAACGTGCTGCATGGTCAGAGTGATGCCTGAATTTTGTGAATGCCTTTTGGTGAGGCCTTTAAGACTAAGCTTGCCACAGTCCCACTGACAGCTATAGGCCTGAGGACAAATACACAAGATTTACAGTATTTTTTCTGCACTTGTTGGTTCTATTTGGTGACAACTTCAACTAATCATTTAGACCAAAGGGATTAGAAAGCCTCAAGAAGCACTTAGTAAATAATTCAGGCTTAGGAGCCAGTCTCTGCTATAATACTCATCTCTGCCATTGTAGAGCAAAGGCAGCCGAAGTATACACAATGGCTGGGCCTATGTCCTTGTACAACTTATTTACAAAAGCAGGTGCCACTGTCATTGTCCAACCCTGCTACAGATACCATCAAGAGCCCACCCCTTCCCCAAGGCATGGAGAGTAACCCTGACTCACCTGTTCCATTACTGCTCATAAGACATCAGCCAATCACAGAAAAAAACTTGACCCAATTCCCAGGTTCCTGCTCCCTAATCCCTGGAGAGATCAATTATTTTCGAAGTTCTTAACATCTCCACTACTTAAGGAATCTGCAGTTCCAATCAACTTCTCTCATATTCAGCAGATTTAAGAGTATTTTCACAACACCCACACCTTCTAAGACTCCAAAATAAGCTCAAACATCCCATATCCCACTAGACTTCCTAAATTCCTTTAAACCCATCATACCTACTGCTCTTCACGTAACTCAAGCTTAAAACATCGGCATCTTTGCCTTTTTGCTGGTTTCCCATCATTACTGTCTATCAGGCTCCTCCTCCTTTCCACTTTCCATGCCTCTCCCTAGAAAATACCCTGTCACATTTCAAATTCTCTTATGCTCACCAGTAATTTAACTATCCCAAGTATCAACACTTGTCACATGGTCTCCCATCACAATTCAAGTCAGCCTCCAGCTTCACCTACTCCGAAAGGACATCAGCTGACCTCTTCAACTCTAGCCCCACCATTCATCAATAAGCCTCAAGCTGTAGCAAGCAGAGTTGCTTCATACTCTCCAAAGACTCACTGTCTTTATTTGTGCTCCCTGTGAGACCCCCACAGAGACTTCCTGTCAGCCAAAACCTGTCTGCCACACCCTTAAAAGGGCACCTGCTCTTGTCCTCAGTGGTTC